CCGCCGGCGCGCAGGGGCCCCCAGCTCTTTGTGTATGCCTCTTTGTTCTGTTGGTTGCATCGATTGTAGTTTATTTGTTTATTTTTAGTATTTATATATGATTTGTTATTTAAAAAAAACAAAAAAAAAAGGAGAGGATACAGACAGACATAGCTGCCTGTACACCCGGTGCCGACTACTGTGTGCTGCTGCTGCTGTATACATATCGCATTTAGCGTTCTTCTTTTGTTTCTTTTTTCTTTTTATTTTTTCATCTTCTTCTTTTCTTCTTTTTCTTTTCTTTTATAAGCATTTACAGATCCCTTCTTAAGCAACAAACTCTTATATCTCCCCCTGCTGCTGCTGCTGTTGCTGCTGCTGCTGCTGCTGCTGCTGCTGCTGCACCATGAGACCATCGGCCTCGGGTCGGCAGCAGCCGCGTGCTGCAGCAGCAGCGCAGCAGCAAACCCCACAAACTTCTTCTGTTGAGCTGCCTGTACACCCCAGCATGCTGCCTGTACACCCCAGCAAGCTGCCTCCCCCCCCCTCTCTCTCACCGCAGCACAGGAGACTGAGGCCCCTCAGCTTACGCAGCATAGAAGTAGAGAAAGCGATTGAGGCTGCTTCTGCTGCTGCAGCAGCAGGAGCAGCAGCAGCAGCAGAAGCAGCAGCAGCAAGAGAGGAGAAAATGAGAGAGCTTGAGGGTCTAGGGTTTATGGATGCGAGTCGCGGACCCCATCAGCAGCAGCAGCAGCAGCAGCCGCAGCAGCAGCACGAAACAGCAGCAGCAGCAGATGGGTGCAGCAAACAAAGAAGACAAGCAACAGCAACAGCAGCAGCAACAGCAGCAGCAGCAGGAGCAGCAGCAGGAGGACACCAATGCATCCCTCGTTTTAGTTTTAGCCCGCAGCTGTGTCGGCGCTCAGAAGAGATAATTGAGGTGTATAGGCAGCATAAAATAGAAGAATTATATAAAAAAATAGATAAAGACAAAGATGGTGTAGTTGATTTATTTTGTTTGTCTCCTGTTGCTGCTGCTTTCTCTCTAACTGAGCGGCAGTTTCTTAGTGCTGTAATCCCGCAGCTAGTGCAGCAGGCAATAGCAAAGACAACACAAGAAGCAGCAGCAGCAGCAGCAGCAGCAGCAGCAGCAGGAGCAGCAGGAGACAGCAGCTGCTGCTCTATGGGGCCCTCGCTAGACCCCCTGCTGCGGCTGCATGCACAAAACCCCACAACACAGGGCCCCATAAAGATAGAGAGTTTGTCTCCTTCTTATAGACACAGAATATTTAATCAAGAAGACAAGGAGGATTTGCTGCTGCAGCTGGAGACAGCAGCAGAGCAGCAGCAGCTGCAGCAGCAGCAGCAGCAGCAGGCAGCACAACTCTGTCGTAGACTAGCTAAAGAACAAAATAAAATTATTATGCTCGATGGAGACAAAGAGACAGCCGATATATCCTCTACCCCACACCTGTTTGTTTCTAGCTCTGTCTTTATAAAGACATGCATGCAGCTGCTGTCTTCTTCTTTTGGTTTGCCTGCTGTTGATAAATACAGAGACACACTCACTCGCTGCTGCCGCTCTCTTGTTGCTGCAGCAGACCCAGCAGCAGCAGCAAAAATTAAAAAACCTTACGTGCTTGCTTTCTCACGAAAGCTAGACGCTCAGAGACAGCAGCAGCAGCAGCAGCAGCAGCAGCAGCAGCAACAGCAGCAGCAGCAGCAGCAGCAACGCATGCGCTGCAGATCTATGCCTGCATGCGGTGACCCTTCTTGCTGCATCGAGGAGCAGCAGCAGATAGCAGCAAAACGTTGGTCTAGGTTTGATGCTGTTATACAAAGATTTCTACATAAAAGACAGCAGCAGCAGCAGCAGCAGCAGCAGCAGCAGCAGCAGCAGCAACTCAAAGAAGCAGAACACTGTACCTTTCACCCAGAGATAAACCCGACCCCTCGCTACCTAAAACAAAAAAAAAACACCACCACCACCAGCAGCAGCACCACCACCAGCAGCAGCAACAACAAAAACAACAAGCAGCAGCAGCAGCAGCAGCAGCAGCAGCAGCAGCTGCCTACAGACCCCATGCAGGTGCTGCGGCAGTTCTGCTGCCGCTATGTAGAAGACAGCAGCAGCGAGGAGATACTGCGGGGGCTGCAGGAGTGTACGTTCCAGCCCAACGCATACAAGTGCATGCAGCGTGAGCTGCGTAGACAGCAGCAGCAGCAGCAGCAGGAGCAGGAGCAGCAGCAGCAGCAGCAGCAGCAGCAGCAGCAGAAAGGAAAAACACAAGACAGCTCTGCTGCTGTTGATAAAATTTTCTCGATGCTGGACGCCCCCTTTGACGCTGTATTTCAGGCAGACATTCGTGAGTGGCTGCAGCAGCAAGAAGCAGAAGAAGACACAGCAGCAGCAGCAGCAGCAGCAGCAGCAGCAGCAGGGGGGGGAGAAGATGAAGAGATGAGGCTGCTGAGACAGGCAAAAGCTGCAGCAGCAACACCCAAGAAGTGGCTGCTCGATGGACGGGAGCCGCAGCACAGAGACAGCAGACAGACAATACGTGCTGCTGCTTGCTGCAGCATCTACAAACCCCAGCAGCAGCAGCAGCAGCAGCAGCAGCAGCAGCAGCAGCAGCTGGAGCAGCTGGAGGAGCAGCAGCAACCCGTCATTGTCCTTGATCCCAGAGCAGCAGAAGGAAAAACCACTTCACCTGCTGCTGGTGCTGCTGCTGCTGCTGCAGCAGCAACACGACAGCGAATCCATCGCAGCAGCAGCAGCAGCAGCACTTGCTACAGCAGCTGCAGCAGCAGCAAAACAGCCACATCTCCTCATGCTGTACCTTGTAGCTCAAGAACCACAAACCCAGCAGAAAAGTAAGCAGATGTTGCAGGGTTTAGGGTTTAGGGTTTAGGGTTTAGGGTTTAGGGTCTGTGTTTATTGGGGTGTGGTGCTGCTTATTAGGGTTTTGTATTCTTTATTAGTAGGGTTTATTACTGTTTTTTAGGGTTTAGGGTTTAGGGTTTAGGGTTTAGGGTTGATTGTTGTTTATGATTAGGATGCACTAGGGTTTGTTGCTGTTTATTATTAGGGTTTAGGGTTTACGACTAGGGTTTATTAGGGTTTATGATTAGGGCATATGATTAGAGTTTACTAGGGTTTATGATTAGGGTTTACGACTAGGGTTTACGATTAGGGTTTAGGGTTTAGGGTTTAGGGTTGAGGGTTTAGGGTTTAGGGTTTAGGGTTTAGGGTTTAGGGTTGTGTGTGTGTATGGAAAAAAAAAACAGATGGAAAGAGGATTTGCGTGGGGGTTATTTATTGCCTTATATGAATTTTTCTTTATCTTCTGAGGAGACAGAAGAAACAAAAAAAAGAAGAGAAAAAATAAAAAAACAAAACTGGGCTG